TATGTAACATACAAGTTGGCAACACGTTGACAGCAGCACCATTGTTTACCAGATCTCGATTAATTGGCATCCCATTCATGTGAGCATGAATGTATAATGGCCTTATATGTCTAGCCATCCTCTCTTCTAGCTTCTCAAAAATAATTTTGTCTGCTGAAATCTCATTTTCATCCTCTTTCATTGGAATCTTAATAATTCCTTCCTCAACCTGATCCGCTTGCTGATAATTTGTAGATTTTGGTTCTTCTTTGGCTTAGAAGACTAGAGGAAGGATAAGCACCAAACAAGACAAATTCACAGAAAACTCACCAAATTGGATGGTTTCTTGCTTTGATGATTTCTCCGTTCCTTCTAACACTTTGAACGTTGCTTTCAGGCCAGTTTCCTCACTTGTCTCCACAATCAAAACTTGGGGAGAAGTTGGACTTCTTAGCTGTTTTTCATCTTCTAGTGATGTTTGATTTAATGTCTTGCTTTTGTCTTTCATCACCCATATTGATTTCATTCTCGTTGAGAGTGGCTAAGCTAGATCTGCCATGCCCCCCCAAGTTCTCCATATGTTGTCGGTGCCTTTCTTTTGCTCTCTTGTGTTGTAAGCGCTGCCTCAAAGTTCTAGGATTTTAAGCCTTAGGAAACTTTAGATGAACCACTCGCTCCCATTTCTGACTAGAAGAATTGAGCAGTGGTTTCACCATCCTAGGTCATTCTACATAGCTAAATTTCTGACTTCGACCAATTTTCTATTGCTTCAGATCATGCCCCCAATGCCTTCTTCTTTGTGAAGAATCTAATATGGCTTGATCTTTGTAAGTTCTGACCTTCTTAATTACCCATCTCAAGTGATCAACTGCAAGTCTGTGCTTGGAATATGATCGACTTTTGTCCTTAATAAGGCTTCATAGATTTGCCACGTTCATTCCAACAGACAAGTCTAGGAGTGGATCTGCATCAACTCCCATTGTTTCCTTAGCCTTTTTTGGAAACCGTAGAATCCCTCTGTCGATCTTTTCTTGTAAAACATTTTGAAAAATAACACAATTGTTAGTAGAATATTTCTAAGAATTATGATATTTATAGTATTCTTTATTCCCTATTTCACTAGCTTTTGAGATTTTATGCCCCAGTGGTAACTTAATTAGACCACACTTCCTAAGGTAGTAAAAAATTTCCCTAGTTCTAGACAAATCAAATGTGTATTGTTTTCCAACCTTGCCAACAAAATGTTTCATTGTCTTATCGGCTTGCTGGGTGACTTTGATTAGATCTGGGCAAACAACAGCCCAAGTTTGTCTGCCACAGCTTCTGCCACATCCAGATCATAATTGGCATCCCCATAATAAATCCCATGAGATGCAGATTTCCTCTGTGAACCTTCCCATAATAAATTTTCTTTATCCCATGAAAAATAACACAATTGTGAAAAATAACACGATCGATGATCTGATCACAGTTGATGTACTGGCTTTGTAGATTCTGTTGTGGTGGCAGCATATAGGGATGGAAGTACTCCCTCTGGGGAAATGCCTTAAGCTACTGATGTCCCCCATTTAACTTACGCTAAGGTGGCATATATTTGGGTGATTGTTGATTTCTTAGATCTGCTACGTGTGGTGCAACCTCTACTAGTTTTGGCTACATTGGCCCACCTACTATCGATTGGTTCTATAGAGGCAGATGTGGCTAATTGACTTGCCCCCCAAGCGTTGGAGCCAAAATATTTTAATTTTGTCTTTAAAGATCTATTGCTTGTGGTTGAGCTTCAATTCTAGCACATCAAAATGCTTCTTGCATTCACTCTGTTTCAACTTGAAATGCTCTCCAATTTTCTGCATTTTGCTATCACCAAACTCTTACACTTTCTTCATTAGAGTGTCGCATGTCTATTACACTTTAGGCTAAATTTTGAGCCAAATTCCGAAAAGACTCATTCAATTGTCTAATGATCTTTTGGCTTCTTTGTTGAGCTCTTTCCTCAGATTCCAACTGCATTCACCTCATCATGCTAATATGTTCTGACACAGCCTTCATAAAGGAGTCATCAGATTGAACAGCATCGTTTCCATATTCACTATCCTTGTTGAAGGTTGGATTGACAAAGGAATGCTCCCCAAGTGTTGGTGATAATGGTGGTGGAATGACTTGCTCATTCTCTCGTTCTGAATGTGTTGAGCTACCTTCACTAAGCCCAATCTTTAAAGTCTAGGCAGTCTTCCCCATGTTTCTTTTTGATGGCATAGTTATGCCTTTTCTTGGATAAAAGAACAACATATTTGAAAACTGTAAATGAGACACAGTGAGGTCCCACCAAGCGTGCTACAAAAGGATTGTTTCCTCAAAAATCCTCAAGTGGCTTTGAACATGCAAAATCTGAATGCAGGCATGCCACTTACTTTTTTAAAAAGAAAAAAAAAAAAAAAAAAGATTTTTCCAACGACCCTCTCCTTCCACACGATCGACCTTCGTTAGGATGGCTAGAAGAACGTTAGTTTAAGATTGAATTCTATGCCCTTTGGACGATTTGCAAGAAAGAAAGATGCCTTCCTACATAATGAGTTGCTAATTTGCCTTAGACAATCTCAAGGATTTTACCATTACCATGTATTTAAGTTAATAGATCCAAAATGAACTGAATGAATAAACGTGATGTTTATTACATGAAATGAAATCAAAGAAGCAATTACACAAACTAATTTGGGTACTTAAATGCTGAAAACAACCTAAATCTACTGGAATCTATGCTAAAACTGAAATATGAAAGTTAAGGTGAGCAATCACTAACAAAACTAGAGAATTGAAAATTTAATGAGTTTTGTGTAGGGCTGGCCGTGTGTTGAAAAAATCAAAAAGCTTCTATTTATAAACTTCTTGCGAACTGCCTCCCCACTTCACTCGTTGGTTGTTCAGATCACGAATAACTCCTCAACTGAGCTTCCTCCCAAATTCTAGGAATTCCTATTTCTTTTAAATTCAAACGACAACAAACCAAATAATCTTTGTCCTCCCAACTAATTTTTACAAATATGCATCCCTTTAGTAGATTTGATCTCACCTTATCAATTAACATGTGACATCACTTTAAAAATGCAATTTATGGTGTAAACACCTTCACTAATAAAAAATAATCCTCATGATTCACAACCCTTCTAATTGTCATATCCTTTCTTATTGTTATGTCCTTTTCTATTATCTTCTATTATATAACTTAAGTATAAAAAAATAGCTATAGCTAGCTTCCTTTTGATGATTCTTAAATGATATGGTCATATGCATAAATATAGCTTATAGGTCTAAGTTAATAGCATTTTTGACATATAGGTTTGAAGTGAAATCCTTGCTGGCCTCATTATATTCACTTTTCAATTGTTGAAGGAATGCAAAGTTACTAACTTCCTCATTTAAAATGTTATCTTGTGTAATGCTAACTAATAAACATATAAAATAATCATAGCAATAGCATTTCTAATCATTGGATTAAAAAAATTACAATGAAGCTAATGACCTAGTTATTGTTCCATTGTAATTCCTTTCCATTAGAGCTAAAAATAACGTCTTTATTAATTTACTATTTATTTTACATTTCAACTATGAGAGAGCCTTCTTCTTGTAACTACTCTCAGTCTTCAATACTCCCTGTATTTAAACTCGAGACCTCCAATATATAGACCTACAAACACAAGGTCCATTAAGTATACTGAGATTAGGAATTTGAGATAACGAGATTAAGATATAACCTATGCTAGGAATCAATTCTACAGAACAATCTGCTACCTAGCTAGCTTACACTAAGATAAAAAAAACTTTAACGTAAAAGGGTGTTTGTATATTTTCAAAGTGCATTTGATATTCTTTGTACCACACACTTGTAAGCGTGAGACTTGATAGAGTTTGGTTGAAAAGAAATGTAATGAGAGGACCTACTGATGAAGCAAACATGTCAATTCATCCCACTTGAGAGTATTCCCTAGTTGTGATCAAGGGAATATATCACTTGGTCAAATTGCCACAATAAGAGGTGTCATCAAGGTTATTAGCATCGCTTACAACATTCTCCCTTTGCATTCCCTGCCCTACCAACTCCATGAAGATCTATATTTTTCATCACTTCATTTGAAACTTTTATCTCCGACTCCTAATGAGATAAGTCCCGAATAGGAGTAGGAAACTTGGAGATAATTTGGTATCACGGTAAAAATTTTATTAAAACGAAGAAAAAAAAATTCAAAATACAAATAAAAATCAAAATTGCAAAACTGAAGCTGGCAATTTAAGGTCCAAATCCTAAAACTTAATAACAATATAATAATTTGATTAAAAATTTGATGTTTCTTTAAATTTTTATATTAAAGTTTTGAAGAGAAATTTATAATAAATGGGAAGAAAACTGAGTTACATTTCAACAAAAATAAAGTTCAAAAGTACATAATTAAAAATAAAAAATATATGCGCATGAAAACATAATTTAATGCATATTACGTATTTATTAGTAATTATTTTATAATATTTTATTGGTATTTAATACTAAAAATATAATTCCTTTTAAATATCATATTTGCCATTGTTTAATTATTTACAGTATACAACTATGTTATGTAGTATGTATTCAATATCATTTTAAGAAGTACAGCTACAGAAAAACCCATCACTGAAGTATTTTGAAATCTATATAATGAAAAATGAAAAACCAAATGTGTAATACAAAGAAAGCATCAAATCTAGGAAATATAAATAATATTTTTTAAAAAAATATAGCATATAATAGTACTAATAAGATAAAACATTTTGTTTTTTTATTTTTTTTGAACATATTACAATTATTTACAAATTAATTGGAGATGAGGAAAATACTTTCCCTAGGATTCGAACCTGTAACCCATAGAAGGTGTACAACTCTAACCCAAAGTCCAATACGACTGGTCGAAACGTGCTGTTCAAATAAAACATTTCGTTTTTGTGTACAAACTTGTTGGAGAAAACATCTTTCCCAGTTTCCAAAAATTGTGGCAAGAAGTTGCTTGTTATTTTTCAAAAAACCAGGAGAAAAATGAGCTGAAGAGAAAGAACCCTTTAAAATGAAAAAATAGAAAGAAAGAAAGACGGAAAGCAAGAAAGAAAGAAAAGAAGAAAAACCCAAAAGGTGATACCAAATGAATCTCAAAAAGTTTCAAATGAGATTGGAAGAATATATACCTGTCGTACAGCAGAAGGCAGATTTGCTAAGGAAAATATTGCAATCCCCGCCACTCTCAACAACCAGAACCTCATCATTGTGGCAACAAAACAAGCAGACAATCCCAAGATCAGTAACAAGGAAATGACTCCTTTAACTGAGACTAACATGTTGCTAACCAGTAGATTACTACATTGCACTTTTACAATCAAAATCCAAAAAGTCTACCCTTTCTAAATGTATGATAGAGTAGAATAGCTGTGCACTTCTACCATGTACAAACATCTTCTCACGATAAGGTTCTCAATCAACATTGTAGCGACTAGTAGATTATTCTAAAGACTTGTTGTCTCTTGAGTGGTTATATTATCTCTTAAACTTATATGGTTAAATTTTACTTATACTGTGTAGTGAGAGATTACTCAACATGCATGTTATCCTTGAATGGTTATGTCATCTCTCAAACTTGGATTATTAAAATGTATACAATGTAGTGACATTACTTACCATGAAGTCATAGGTTTGTGTAATATTAGATACAGAACAAATTCAAATCTACATATTGAATTATACAGTTCAAGGTAAATGAATATAAAAGAAAAAAATGAAAAGGAAATAAAAAAAGAAATGATGAATAATAATGCTTTGGATCAAAAGAGCCATTTGACTCAATGTATATCGTTCATCCCCCAATAAGCAAGGTGAATCTAGCAAATAAACTGAAACAATAAAACTCATCAGCAAGTAATCAAATTAAAGACTCCAGATCTGAATCATACCATAACTCATAAATTGACTAGAGTAAACAATCAGATTCTCAGATGTTAGGCAATTCCTTTTTGACCGGCCAATATCAACCAATAACAAACAAGTTTCAATCAACCACTTCAAGCTAATATTGTTAAGTAATACACAACCCAATATCATATAAATAATCTAGACGATAGCAATGGGACAAAATGAATTTAAACTTATGTATTACTAAAAGAGATCCTGTTGAAAAAATCAACGTTCTTTAGGACTTATGAACTGGCAGAAGACAAAAAAATCACCAATACTAACTTGAAAAAGAGAGAAACGAATGTCACAGTAAGCATCCTGAAAGAAAGGTAACATGTAAAACATGGTAGAGAACATATTCAACTGCTTAATATCTATTTAAGCTTTTAAATATAGAAAAAATTTGTGAGAAACAAAACTCACATGCAGAATTGATGCATATGAAAAAGAGTAAAAGGTCATTGAATTCGACAAGCTAAAGCTCAAGGGTCATTAATATCTTTACCCCAAAACAATAGATTCATAATCTGATAATCCACACAAACAATAACAAATCAGCACTCAAGAAAATTAGTTACTACCCCTGAAAAGAATCCAACATGCCAGTGGCATCTGTACAGAGTTTGAGTCAACAGACACCGAGCATATAAACCCATTAATGAGGTAAACACTAAGAAGAATCAATTTAAACATATATCACAAAGATTATAAACCATATCTTCCAAGTACACATTCAGCACAATATTTTACCTTAAAATACATCTCTTGTTGACCCATCTCCATTTTCTTGCAAAGTTGCTGAAGCCTGAAGAATAGATAATCACATAACCCTAAGAAAACCGTCTGGAAGAAACGTTTAGCAAACTTCCTTCTGGATATATGTAAATTCCAGGAATTTATTGCGAGTTAGAAACAGAACTACTTCTAAAATCATGTCAAACAATAAAAAAAATAACATAAAAAAAATGCACCTACACTGCACCAGAGATTCCCAGTTAGAATTTATTCCAATTAAGTGATTAAACCCTAATATTTGCCCCATTCATGATCGATCAAACTATCTAAAGACCAGTAATTATATCAAAGGGAAAGTAAAATAAATGTGATTTGTTTCAAGAGAACCAAATTCATCAATAAGAATCAGAACTCTTATCGATAAATACCGAAACGGAATTGAAGAATTCGAATAACCCATCACGAAGGCTTAAAAAACCCTTAATTCTTAAACAAAAGAATCGAGAAAACCACTGCGATTAAGTGCCCCAGAGAGAGAAGGTCGAGACTTCGAAGAGATCGGACATGAAGAGGAGACAGTGTTGGTTGTCGCCCGTCGAAGGCTGCAGAGGGAGAGAGCCCTAGGAGTCGGAGATGGTGGCAGTTTTGGTCGTCGCCCGTCGAAGGATACAGAGGAGTCGGAGAGGATGGCATTTTTTGACCGTTGGGTTTGGTGTTCTGTAAAAGCTG